AATTTTTCTCAGCCCAAATACGACACCCCCCTCCTGGCGACTATACGACCCCCCCCTATTGGGGATTCCCCAACAACGATGTGCCCTGCCACGAACGCGCGCCTCACATGGAATAAATTCGAAAGCGCGCGTACGGTAGCGACAATATGTACGCAACTGGACCGGCTCTTCAATGTGTTCTTGGTAATATCTTGCTTTTGCTTAACTCTTTGGCACGTGAGTAGATTGAAGCAGCTCCTATAGGAACGGTCATAATTCTTGGGTTGGAACCGGCCCTTAGAAAAACTGCGCTCCTAGTCACAGCATAGGAATTTGCTGAAGCAAGCATCGTCTATTTATAGATCAGTGCAGCTTATTTATTAATTTACAGATGTGAAGCAAGTGTCATGAAGACGCTAGCTCGCTATGCACTTCTGTGTGCCAGTATATTGCTGTATGGATGGCTGTTCTGTATAGACTTCTCTAGTGATAGTCCGGACGTTGAAGAAGCCCCATCATCACTTTGGGATGGTTCGAAGTACGAAACAGCGCCGTATCTCGAGGAAGGGTTCGTGACCCGTGTTATTTCTCTATATATAAATCAGGGATTGCCGTATAAGAAATTTGCGATATTTCTACTAGAGTACCTCTGAGAACCTGTTGTTCAGACCAAAGGAATGTGCTATGCATTCATGCTTCGATTTTACCAAATGCACGTCGAAACTGAAAGTTTTTGTTTATCCTGATGTCGAAGAAATACCTCCGTCAGAAGTTTATCGGAAAATCCTCACTGCATTCCGAGAAAGGTGAGAACTACACAGTGAGATTTCCAGCATTATTGGTGATTTTTCTCTTCTAGTCAGTACGCCGTTTCCGATCCTGCGGATGCATGCCTATTTGTCGTCAGTGTGGATACGATTGATAGGGATAAGATCAGGTGAATACCATCCGCTCTGTTCTTCAGTTTGCGCATTCCCATTCCACTCTAGCTGTGTACTTTTCAATAACTAGATGAACGCAAGACCGCGTTCAGACTTTGCGATCTAGTCGTGCGATCGGGTTGCTTAATCCAACCGTGCGGGCCCGACCCTGGGCGTTCCATCAAACGAGTCAACGCCGCAAAGGCACAACTCAAACTGGCACTGGCCCATTGTGAATTCTGCCGTCGGCGGGCACTGTTCAACTATTACTACCCCAATTTTCCGAAAACGGCCATTGATCGACTTTTTCTGCGGGGCAGATTTGGCTGAAAGTTGGGTTCTAGGGGTAATTCGGCCGCCTGAACACATATCACATCCGCTTGGCGCCCGCGCCAGGTGCCAGGCTAAAATCTCCTGAACCACTGGCGCCTGTGGCGCGGGTGCCGGCCACTTTTCAGGCCAAATGGATGTGATATTCGGGTACGAGGTCAGTTACCATCCCAAACGAATTTCAGCCAAATCTGCCCCCGTAGAAAAAAGTCGATCACGATCTGGCCTGTTTTCGCAAAACTGGGGTAGTAATAGTTGAATAGTGCCCGGCGCAAACGCCTGCTGGTGGAGCGCTCCGGTCGTTATCGCGCGATCGCCACTCGACGCGAGTAAGCTCTTTAAGTGAATTTTAACAAATTCAAAGCAACGTGTTTTTCAAGTGAGAACTACGTACGAGATGTTGACCGTTACATAAGCAACCTTCCTGTCGAAGTATGGAATGACGGAGTGAACCACATTATACATCTGGTATCATGACATTTCTACTAACTGCAGACCAAATCTAGGCTTTAATCACAGAAGGCTATGATCGCTCGTGCTTCTCCGAGTCTACAGGTAAGATTTGCATCTCAATCTTATTTAGTTAATGTTGAACCTCTTAGAATTATCGTTTCGACTTCGATATATCCTTCCCTCTCTTCCACAAGGAGCACCCTTTACGAAACGCTTTTGAGGTAACACTTGTTCTCTTTCTTTTATTTGTATTTCTTTCAATAAGACAACACGCCGCAGTTGTCTGGGAGGTGAATCCCATTACAGAGAAACTCAGGTCACACTGCATAGATATACCACTTACTTCACTCGGAAATGCGTGGCAATCCCTCCAGGAGCTTTTGGTTCTCAGAACCTTCTGTACCATATCCAATTAATCAATGAGTGGTTTAGGAAGAAAGCAACTAATAACGGAAAGCGCGGTTGAGCTCATCCCACTCTCTTAAACCATACCACTCAAGCAGAATGCAACGCATATCAGCGCTATTGCTAGTGTAGAGGTCTTATTTGGGACGTCTCCGACGGTCTCTTTTCCTCTACTCCTCCATTTGAGATATCTACCACCTACGAACTTATATTTGGACCCCCTGCCAACTATCGTAGTAAGAACGTGTCTTCCAGTAAAATCTACCACGCCACACTTTTACTTCCAGTGTTTGAGTACCCGATTACAATATTGTTTTCTGAAGTAAAACTCGTGAATTCCCAAGAGTGACTAATTTTTTCTACAGCTTTTTCTAAAATCTGCTCTCATACATTGAATCTCTTGACACTATTTTCAGCAGGATATTTCATTTAAAACGCAGGACCAATATATAGTGTCGTTCAAGGGCAAGCGTTATGTCTACGGTGGGTTTCAACTTCTTCCCATTTGTTCCTACTATTATGCGCCCATCACTCCGTGGTGACGTGACATTTAAGGTATTGGTTCGGAGACTCGAGATTCGCTTCACCATTTGCACAATGGTGAAACAGTGGCCATGGTGACAACGTGCCGCCACAATAACGACTGGAAGGTTACTGCTACTACTTTGCCTTGTAATGTGCTTATTTCATAATACAGGAGATGCGTGACACCCCCCTAACATGTATCCAAAAAACGAAGGGTATCTTCAAAAAAACTTTGCGCTCTGACCCTCTTCCATTAGATCTGATATTTGAGTTAAATGCAATCTCGAAACAATTTCTTTCTGAAAAAATATTCTGACATTCTTTATGTTATGTGAAATTAAAGGTAGGTGCTATGCATTGCAGTGAAATAAGAAAAACTGTCGCATTCTTGATGACAATCTCAATCTTCCAGGCTCATCAAGATGCTAGATGTGAAAGCGATAATGAAGCTTACGACAAGTACGGTCCCCACTTTATTCTCGTTGACACCATCCTATGAAGCATACCATCCTCTTTGACATTTGTTTAGATGGGATTACGAGACGATGATGGCCAATTCGACTTTTTGTCTGACACCGCGAGGAAGACGATTAGGATCATTCAGGTATGCTTGCATGTGAAATGTTTGAGTAATTCACTTTTTTTGAAAATGCTCAAAGCAAGCATGGTAGAAGCATTGTTCTCCTCTCCTCTTCTTATATTTCTCCTCTGGCCCTTGATGATGAAGCGTATTTATCGGTGATCGTGCTTTGCGCCCTAATGTCTTACCAGGGAAGTGAGCAGGTCACTACGGCCACCTGCAGTGCGATGCCCACCTTTGTATGCGCCTTGTGACGTTGAACTCGAGCCTTCAAAATCAAGTTGTGCCCTGATCGGAATGCTTTGATGGCACAAATGTTGAAATCTAAGTCATTCCTACTTTGAGCTGTTGTGTGCCCGTTGCGAAGCCATCTCTCACTGTTCGTAAATTTATGAGCGGAATATTCACTTCCATACCTTTGTAGTAAGGCATTACAATCTTAGCACCGGGGCTAGGTTCTGTTAGATTCTAATATTCTTCACTTCCGAAAAAGTCTTCAGTTACTGCTTTCCAGTTACTGTTGTTTCGAGTCTAATGTATAGGACAGGCTAAAAACCACCAAACTTCGAGCGCTTCCTTCACGTGACTGTACCATTTTCAATCAGTGCTGTCCATATGGTCAGATCAAATAAAGCTGCAATTTAGATTTCTGGAAGCTTTGAGACTGGGATGTATCCCAGTTGTGCTGTCGGATGATTGGGTACTACCTTTCGATGAAGTGATTGACTGGTCAACAGCTGCTGTCATTGTTCCCGAAGACAATGTACTATTGGTAGGTTCTGGCATTGTTTCCACGACTTTACTTACTAATCTGAAAGCCTTTTGTGATCTGCGCAAAGATCCTTCAGGTTCCTGATATCCTGTACACATAC